GGCCTCAGCAGATGGCCGCTCACACTGAGCCTGGTTCTGCTGGAGGTTTCTTCCTGTTCAAAGGGAGTTTTTCCTCTCCACTGTCACTACAAGCATGCTTAGTGTGAGGGATTGTCTTTGCATGCAATCAGCTGATTTTCCTTAGATACAAAACTTTGAATCAATTTTACTCGACGATCTGGTGAACTGTAAAGTGCCTTGAGATGACATGTTGTGAGTTGGCCCAATATAAATAAACTGAATGGAATAGAATATTATCTAATTATCTTATTTTAAGAGTAAAAATACTAATTCCATTGGCAAATCCTCTTATTTACCTGCTCAAATTCAGGGTAAATACACTTAAGTGTTTACTTCTTTCTGGATTGTTTGTGCAGTGTAGAGCCTGGAGCATCTTTATATCCCCTCCTCTATCCAGAGTCACATATTTGATTACAAAATCATTATTAATATGGACATTAAAGGCCTCTATTAGAACCGTGTGAATTGCTGAACAGTATTGATTTATTTAAAGTCGGGCATGACCAAAAAACAAGGACTTTATTTTTAAAGTAATTCTGTTGAAGGATGGTTGCGAAGCATCGTCTGACTCTATTTATTATTACTTTTGTCAGATTCAAGTGTTTTCTTTGACATTTTAGTTTTTTTCATTAAAAAAATAAATTTCTGTAGATCCAGCGGTCCCTCTGGAGCCAAAGTTCTGCTCTTTCCTTCCAGTTTTAGTCGAGTGTTTTCATTTAAACAGGAACCCAGTGGAAGAATGTGTCTGCGAGCCATCACACCTCCACCGCCATGCTTCAGGCTGCTGCTGCTTTTGAACACAGCTCTGTTTTACGTTTGTTACCCTCCTGATGTTCTGATGTGTTCTGTCAGGACGGAGAGGCTCTGGAAGCAGGGACCAAAAAGTTTGAGGATCTGGAGTTCCAGCAGCTGGAGAGAGAAAGCAGCCTGGAGGAGGAACGCGAGACCATCAGCCAGCAGCTTCTGCAGGAGAAGGCGGAGTACCACCGCAGCGTGGCCAAGAGGAAGGTGAGGACAGCCGATAAAAAGCTCCACGCTGCGGTTCTGTCAGCTGATGCTGAGGGTCGGGTTCCTCTTCTGCTCTTAGGAGAAGGTTTCCGCTCTGGAGAAGCAGGCCAACCAGCTCGGCCAGCAGGCTTCCCAGGAGTGTGAGCGGCTGGCCAAGGACCGGACGCTCATGATGCAGATGCTCCAGAAGGTTGGCATCCAGACACGGCCTCAGCGAAAGCCAGGAAACGCCTGGAGGAACTCTAAGCTCTGCTCTGCTCTGCTCTGATTCCCCAGGAGAAGGAGCGGCTGTCGGCTCTGGAGAAGAGATACCAAACCCTGACTGGAGGGAAGAGCTTCCCCAAGTCTTCAAACGCCATGAGGGAGGTGAGTGAAGGGCTGCAGCCGTCCCGCAGCATGCCTGGCCTCAGACCGCCGCTCTGGGGGCTGATTTATTGATTATTACCTGAGTTGGAGCGATGAAGCGTCTCAGACCTGCCGCCATCTTCCCTGCCTGTCGAACAGGAAGCGGCGGTGCACCCCTCCCACTCCCAGACCTCGTCCTCCCCCCTCTGTCAGCTGTTCCCCAGCAGCCCCACAGAGGTAACCCACCTAACGGCTCCTGCATGCCGTAACCCCGGGATGTAATATGGGACGCGTGATTTATCGTCTTTAATGTCGGCCACTGTTGGGGATTTTTAAGTGTTTTGGTATCATTGGATAATTTAAACTGATAATAGAAGATAATAAAAACTGTCAGCACCACGTCCCTCCTCCATGATGTCCAAAGGGTCGGAAAACTTATATCAGCTGAATACAGACAGAAATATCAGCATTTATTCACTTTAATTTACTGTATTAATAGTAGGAATTAATTGGCGTCACAGGCGGGAATGTTTGGAACTCCTGCTTCAAATCAAGCCTCTAGTCTGGGGGTCAGCAACCCGCGGCTCCCTGGAGCTTCTTTAAAATCTATGAAAATGGAAAAAGAGGGATTTTTTTTTTTGTTTATAATATAGTGTGTAGGAGGACAAGAAAAACATTCTTTATGTTTCCGACGCTGTAAAACTCTGTATAATAAATAGATTTAAACATTTCTATTAACAAAGATTTGCGACATAGCCTGCGACATGTTTCATTGCGGTGCCAGGATGAAGGCTGCACTGGTGGCTGCACTGTCATTAAATTATATCAGTTATTTCAAACCGCCGTGTGGAACACCTTATAAACAAAGGACATTCTTTGGAGGACCAGAATGTTCACATTTAGGACAAAGAAGACAGGTGGTTTGAGAGGGGAGTGAAGGAAGCCATATTTGTTAAGAGAGAAACACCAACCTTAAACAGAGGGGGGGGGGACTAGATTTCAGTTTTTAAAAACCTACAATGCAGCGATAGGGTTGATTCCTTCCCGCTATCATCGCAACCCCAAACCCCTTTACAGGGAAACGGAAGACCTTGCCTATTCAGCCAGGCCAACATTTCCCTTTAACGACCCCCCTTTCAGAGACATAGACAGCTATGGGGCATTGCAGGCTAACAAAATAAGCTAAACGACCCCCATTCCAAAGGGGGGGACCCGTTCATCCGTTTCAATTTGCTTGTTTTCTAAACCAAAACAAGGCTTTTTTGGGCTGCCAGTTAAAGCCTGGAACTCAACTCTACTACTGACATTTTGAATTTAAATGGCTTCCTGGATGGGAAGCAAAACGTCTTCAAACATGGAAAGAAAGTCCAGTGGATTGATTTTTAACTTTTTTGGGAATATATATTAGCCTATTTCTGTTATAACAGCCTACGTACCTCATCAAAAGGCTGCTTTTTGCACTGTTGTCCCGATAAGGTGAGGAAAAGCAGATTACCGTAAATTTCAGACTATAAGCCGCGACTTTTTCCCCATTTTTCGACCTTGCGGCTTATATAACAATGCAGCTTATCTATGGACTTTTACAGCTAACGGCCACTAGGGTAATACCTAAATATCTGGATTTTACCATCCACCATGTTGACGTCACATTTGCTTCAACACACAAGTACGGTAGCTGCGCGCGGGGGAATGCGGAGGTCCTACGGAAGCAGACTAACCGCGAGTGGTACGAGACAGAAAGACGGACATTAAACATAAAAAACCTGCAGCTTATAGTCCGGTGCGGCTTGTATATGTACAAATCATGCAATTTAGCTTCTGCGGCTTATATTCAGGTGTGGCCAATAGTCCGAAAGTTACGGTATATTTTTACTGTGGTTTGAAGAGGACTGCATTTGATTTCCACACAGAGGTTTGAAATTACATGAGTCCTATCATGTATATTTCATTTTTTTCCCAAATCCTCAAAATAAAAATAACGCAAATCTAATTTCTTAACTGTATTTCTAAAATTCCGTTGATGCAATAAATCAGAATACATTAACGGCAGTGAAACTATCGTACAGCGGATTAGTCACATGGTGTCATTTTCTCCAGGATGCACTGCAGGGAAAATAAACATTTAATCATGAATTATTTATTATGTATTTAAGCCTATTGGGTCATTTTGATAGATGGCTAATATACACTTCAGGGCCATAATGCTACGTTCACACCGCGTACGATTTCAGCAACAGAAAATCATCTGCTGCTTCCTTTTTCATGCTTGTCCACATTATGGTCAGATACGCTTTTTGATGCTCCTGTAGTGCGTCCAGTAAAGTGTGTCCAGATGCGTCTGATGCTTCTGCTGCTCCTGCATTAACTGGCAGAGAGCGGCTTTGCTATATTTGCTGTGATCAGTGAGTAAAAAGTTGTTTGAATATGTTTAAAGTGACAAAGTCCTCCTGAAAACATGGTCTGTGCAGTCAGTTCATCCAGATTACCATCCTGCCTTCAAAGATTATTTCTCTGTGGGAACCGCTCGCCTCTTGGGGTTTTTCCCCTACTGTTGGTGGCGGCTGGAAGTAGATATTAGCGTTTTTCAGGTATTTGGTATAAACTGCAGGCACCAGGATAATAAAAGCCAACATATTTTACCGGCAGGTTTCTACATTCTAAGTTAATTTAGGCGTTAATAAAGTGTTTCAGAGGAGTGATCATAGCGCTCTGCATCAGCAGTGCTGCGTCTGACTCCCTGCCAGCTCCCAGATCAGCTTCTCTGATTGGTTGATGCGGCGTGTCCAGCAGCAAAAGCTCAATTTTTCCACCTCCAGCAGCTGCTGCTTGTGAAGGCTGTCATGCGCCTCAGATGTTCAGAAGCTCTTCAGCTGCTCCGATGCTTCAAAACGCGTCGCTCCTGCTGCTATAGATGCTGCAGCACCTTTTGATGCACCTTGATGCCCATCAACCATTGACTTTGCATGTAAACCTGCTGCTGAAAGCGCGTACAGTGTGAACGACGTAGCATTAGGCTGATATAAGACGGACAGATCTTTTATTTGTTTTATTTGGTCCAATATGGCTCTTTGAACATTTAGGGTTGCCGACCCCTGGTCTAGTCAAACCTGATTCCAGTTGAGGATCCTCTCAGCTGCTCGCCGTCCGTCAGAACCAACTCTCATCCCATCTGCCTCTGGGTCGGGTTAAGAAGGACGGTTCTGGCAGCTGGACGCCGGCTCCGTCCTGACTGGACGTTAGCTCCGGTGTCGTCAGACCCCATCAGACCAGCGTACCCATAGTACAACGCATGCGTGTGCAAGAAAAATGGGACATTTAAACAACTTCCTTTACATTTGCAGATCAGCTTGTCAACATCTACATACACTTAACTGTTGTATGACAACCTGAGCGGTTAGCTTTTACGTCAGGGTGTGAAATTGCGAACAAAGAAAGTGAGGCTGTCTGTGTTTAAAGCAGTTAACTTTAAGTTCTGTTTAGCGGCTAAAACTTTTTTGTTTATCACATTCCTTCCACTTACAGTGTCAGAAGTATGCAAATCTGACGTCTTCTGCGTGCGTATTGACTATGAGTATGCTGGTCTGACAGAACGCCGGCTGTCTTTCTGTTTCCATGCCACGTTGCGCCATCTGCTGGCTGTGTTTGGCTTTGCGCTGCATGCAGGTCTGCTGTGAGTCAAGCCGTTTTTCATCATGGCGTGTTTGATGGAGGTGGTTTGTGATTGGCTGAAAGTCCCGGATGAACAGAGGATGTTTCTGAGTTGAGGTTTGGTCGTTGGAGCCGTTAGAAGAGGAATGTCAGATGTTTGTCCTGCTTCCTGTTAGCCGATGTTTTCCCTCCTCTCCTCGTCCTGCTGACCTGTCCCTTTCTGCTCCTCCCCATCCTGCTCCCCTATGAAGGAGTATGTGACAGTGGGCCAGTTAAATCACATCTATGGGATGCCCAAGGTGGAGTCCTCCCCTACCTCCCCACTCCGCCAGCCCCTGCAGCCCGGAGCAGTAGACCCCGCCTTCTCTCGCCACGGCTCCTCCCTCTCTCTGTCTGTGGAGGTTTGTCTTCTCCTCCCATCTTTTCCTTCTTCCTCCTGCAGGTTTGTTCATTTCTGTTTGAGCAGCAGACCCTGAAATGCTGCCTGAGTTTAATTAAAGTAGTCAAACCCAAAGTTAAGGCCAGTTTTACACCAACATGACTGAAGAAGGGAAGCAAAGCTGAATCCCAGCCTCAGTGAACCACAGCAGCATCTCAGGGCTGCTTCTGCTCTCTTTCAATGCTTTCTAACGTCTCCTTTTCCCCCTCTGTCTGCTGCTCACCTGCTCTGCTCTCCAGCTGCAGCCGGAGGCCGCTCGGCCTCGACTCGCCAAGCTAGATTTAGAGCAGTGGTACCAGGAGCTGATGGCCGGCTCCACGCAGCTCGGTGCCCCCCCTCTCTCGCTCAGATCGCCGTCAGGCCGCAGACCTGTGCTGCAGGTAGAGCCGCCTCCTCCTGTCCAGGAAACTGTTGTCTGCGTGTGTTTGTTCCTGTTTTTTATGTGTCAGAGTGAGGACCTTTTTCACCAGAGAACTGAAGCCCTGCTGCTGCTCCCCCCCTTCCTGCTGCTCCCCCCCTCCTGCTTTAGGTTTATTACCAATCTGTGAACAAAGGTTAGGTCAAGTATAGGGCTGCAACTAACGATTATTTTGAAAATCGATGAATCGGCCGATTATTCTTTCGATTAATCGATGAATCGGACACAAAATATTTTTTTTATATTAACCTCTTTATTCCAAAATAAACATTTTAGACAGAACAAACAAGCACATAA